GGTTTTTGGTCCAAGAACCCTAGCATATGAGAAATGGACGTCTCAAAGGCTTATGTTTTCAGATTTAGAACCATTAAGGGCTGTTATGGCATAAAGGTGCAAACTTTATGCCATAAGAGTCCCCATGCAAACAATAGAGTGTTCTTTTGGCCTCTTTAACTCAAAAGGCCATGTATGGAAGGAAAAAGGCAGGAGCTTTGGATGGTTATGAGGTGTTTGGGTCCAGATCTATGTTTGGATGCATTAGTTTGGTGTATGGTTGCCTTGTGGACCAAGATATAGGACCTTAAGAGTTAGGGTTTGAGTTATATCCTTTAGGTGAGGGTATTAACGGGTAAAGTTGGAAACTTTACCCTCCTAAGGTCATTTCCAGAGTGTATTCAAAGTTTAAAGCTTAGATATGAAGAATAGTGGCTTAATCCATTAAGAAAGGCTTAACAGAATGAAGAACTCACCGAGTCCAGGGAAGGACTCGACGAGTTAAGATGGTAATGTCCCGATTATGTACAGAAGGAACTCGACGGGTCCGTGAAGGGACTCGACGAGTTGGTTCGTGGTTTTGCGATTATGAGTAGCATGGGAACTCGACGAGTCAGGGGGAGTGACACGACGAGTTGAGTCAACTCAGAGTGTTGACTTTGATCGCTGACTTTGACTTTGACCTGGTTTGACTTATGAAGGCATTTGGACAAAAGTATGTGAGGGGTGGAATGGTCTTCTACCCCAGTGAAGACTTATGATTAAGTTATAAGAATCCCGGACTTATTTAAGTTGTATGATGATCGGTAGCTCAGGAGTCGAGAGATCAACAGTTCAAGGATCTGCCAGCTAGCAGCGAGGGGTTTATTCGTGGGACTTCAGCAGTGTGAGGTGAGTTAACTTCTAGTAGTGGTGGGTCTACGACCACAATGCCGGCCCACTAGTAAGAGTTGTATGTTAGATGATTGTCTTTGTGATAATTATCTAGGTTTGCTACTACCTGATGTGTTTTATGTGTTAGCCTGATATGATGTTACATGATAGTAGCAGTAGGGGGAATAGTCCCCGTATTACGGTCGTTAGGACCGAAGGGTAGGTGTGGCACCCCAGATATGCCTGACAATATGTTCATGATATGATGTTATGTGATAGTGGTAGTAGGGGGAATAGTCCCCGGTTACAGGTCGATAGGGCCGAAGGGGTAGTCTAGTACGCAGCTATGCTAGACAGTATGTTTATGTTATGTTATGTTATTATGTGGTAGTGGTAGGGGTGAAATAGTCCCCATAACCGGTTAAGATACACCGGAGGGTAGGTCAGGCACCTAGATATGCCTGACAGTGGGGTAGGTTGAGCACCCCGATATGCTCAACAGGGTAGGTTGGGCACCCAGATATGCCTGACAAGGTAGGCCGGGCACCCAGATATGCCCAACAGTATGTGATTGGTATGGTATGTGGTATGATGAGGGAACTCACTAAGCTTTGTGCTTACGGTTTACAGTTTTGGTTTCAGGTACTTCGTTTTCAAAGGAAAGGGGTCGGCTTGATCGCAGCGCATCATACTATGTTTTCCGCACATGAGATCTTTGGAATTACACTCTGATATGGTTTTATGATAATATGGTTTGATTATTAACACTATGGTTTTGACATGAGATATTATTATGAATGTTTTTATACTGTTGGTTTTATATAATAACTTAATTAAAATGAAATTTTTGGTCTTGAATTTTGGGACGTTTCACATTTAGTCCTATATTTTTTTGTTGCAAAATAAGTCTTTACTGTTTTTGTACACATTCAGTATTTATGACCGGTTTCTTCAGGTTTTGCTCACGGTATCCCATGTAGGACAATCATTAATGAGGTATTTGAGGTTGTTGATGTTTATGGTCACCACAACCTCGACTTGCTTAGGTTTTGTGTTCTAAACGTCGTAAATTCTTCATACGATCTTTGATTTTAATGATCTTTATATCAACGCATTCGTATTTGAGTCTACTACAACTTTTGTTTAATTTACTTTCGTTAAAAATAATATATTTTTACTTACGATATTTATATCTACACGTTCTTTATGAATGTATGTATGAACGTTTATATATATATATATATATATATATATATATATATATATATATATATATATATATATAATATAATAATAATAATAATAAAACCGTAAGTAAACATATATTACATTTTAACGTTAATAACTGGAGTCTAAAGTAATATATTTTTACTTACTATCTTTTTGTCCATGCGTTATTCATGATTCGTTGACCGGTAATAAACAAACATTAATACATACATTAATAAAAAGAACACATATATATAAAGATCATAAGTAAAAATATATTACTATTTAACGGGAGTAATCTAAACGAAAATTGTAATAGACTAAAATACGAATGCGTGGATATAAAAATCGTTAAAATTCGAGATCATTTGAAATAGTTACAAGTTTAGAACACAAGACCTAAGTTAAATCACAAAATCTAAGAAACCAAACAATCGAGGCCGCGATGACCATAAACATCAACAGTCCGGACACCTTATTAATAATTGTTCCACGTAGGATGCAATGAGAAAAACCTAAAAAACATGTCATATATACTGAATGTGTATAAAAACAACAAAAACTTATTTTTCAATAAAAAACATATATAAGGATTAAATGTGTACAAAGTAAGAAAATATATTATCCTATTAAGTCATTTTTTACCGCTTACCTAGAGTAGCCGGTCATAAAGACAAAATGTGTACAGTTTAAACAAATTGAAGGAAGTAAATATAGACGGAAAAAACTTAATGACCAAATGTGTACAAATAAAAGAATATATTATCTCTTTTAAGTCATTATCCCCTAATATAATTAACTGTCGTTTTATTAGATATTGAATCATATAATAGTATTTATGAATTTTGCTTATTTATAAAACATCCATTTTAATTTTGTATGAGGCTTTCAAAACCCAATAAATTGATGCGTTTTTTATTTGAGTTTAGGTTATATTTGATCATTTAACTTTTGGTTTTGTGTTTATTTTGTCACTTAACTTGTTTTAATTTTTAAATGTCACTTAACTTTTAAATTTTTGTCAAACTGGCCGGAACTTACATTTTTGGCTATTTTAGGTTACTATAGAGCTATAATTAGTCACTAAACTTTTAAAAATGTGTTGATTCGGTTTTATACTTTTTTCCACAATTCGTTTTTATAACTTCATTTTTTTAAATGCTTTTCATGATTCATTTTTATGACTTTAATTTTTTACTATCATTTTTTTATGTTTTTTCCTAGTTTGTTTTTATAACTTTATTTTAATATGTTTTTTCATGTTTTATGCACAATCTATTTTTACAACTTAACTTTTTTTTCTTCCTTTTCATGTTTTTTCAAAATTCATTTTACAACTTTGTATTTTCTTTTATTTTTTTATGTTTTTTGACAAAATATTTTTAGAACTTCATATATTTGTTTCGGCAATTTGATATAAGTTAATTGAACTACAAAATTATTAACCAAAGTGATAATCCTAGAATTATCAGTTTTTCACGTATCCAGTAACGTTGCATAATCAACAATTTTCTCATATGACGGTTTACATATTACACTAGTAACAATAGTTCACATATGTTCTCACATAAAAATTCATCTTTACATAACTTACAATATGGATTGTTTTTGTTATCCAGTTTGATACTAATTAACCAAAAAAAAAATCATATTTTGGATCCATAATTTTAATAATAAAACAAAATGGATAATTTAGTATCAGAGAAAAACCAACAACAAAAACAAAAAAATAATGATGATTTTTTTGTTTGAGAAACATATATGAGGCGTTGATATTGTTGTATAATAAAGTTGCTAATTATACGTTACTGGATGCGTGAAAAAATAAATAATTCTAGATTATCACTTAGGTTAATAATTATGTAGTTTGGTATTGATATCTAATTGACGAAACAAATATACGAAGCTCTAAAAACATATCATGAAAAAATATATATATATAAAAACATACAAAAAATGAAGTTGTAAAAATGGATTTTGAAAAAAAAAATCATAAAAATTAAGTAAAAAAAACTTAAGTTGTAAAAATAAATTGTGAAAAAATTACAAAAACACAATAAAATTGAAGTTGTAAAACGAATTATGAAAAATAACATGTAAAAACAAAAGTAAAAAAAAATAAAGTTATAAAAAATGAATTGTGGAAAAAAATATATAAAACCGAATAACTAAAATTTCAAAAAGTTTAATGATTAATTATAGCACAGAAAAGTTCATGGCCTAATATAGCCAAAAATAAAAGTTACGATGACTTTAGATAACAAAAAAAAAAATATATGGAAACTTGTTATTGCCTTTCATTATTTTAACAAAAATTTAAAAATTAAATAACATTTAAAACTTAAAACGAGTTAAATGACCAAATAAACATAAACCAAAATCATAAAATTATTTTATCACATTAAATCATTGTAACTTTAATAATATTTTATTATTTTATATGTTTATTCTTTTCTTTCAATATGACAATAATGATAATAAGTTACATCAATGATTCGCTAAATAGTCTTGAAAATGATTGGTATTATTTAGTGAATACTATACTCGTTTGTCTTTATACCAACTCATATTAACTTACAATACAAAAAATGGGTGTTTAATAATTAAATTCAGATTTTAAGTTTATCTTGTATCTTTCATCGTCGTTGTTACGGGGCCATATTTATCATTTTAACAAATAAAGTTTTCTCTGACTGAATGTATGTTGATAGATTCAAGTAGGTATAAGACCACTTTAATAGTAAAACGAAAACCAAGTTTCTTTAATATTTATGGATCTCACAGAGTCAAAATTGCTAAGTACAAGATAACTTACATTTTCAATTGAGTAATTTGAAGGCGTGATAAAAGTGTCGTTCTAGACTTAGCAATCTAAGCTCTGGATAAAAGAATTACTTGAAATTTAATAATACAACGGTATCCAGCTCTTTGGGCCATAAGTGAGTGTCTGGATCCTTTGGTTCTTGTAAATAGCCGGATCTTTGACATGGCCCTCATCTGCCGGCCGACGTCCATGATCCATCTCACCACCACCCTTCATAAATTCAACTTTCTTGGTCTTCACAAGTCACAACCACCCTCAAAATCTCCATCACCATCACCACGACACCACCACCGTGGTTGCTGCTTTTGCAAATGCCTATAGATGACAACAGCCCTAGTGCTCGTAGTCTTGGCTCCTTCTCCAACACCACCGATCTCTTGAAGCTGAGCACAAGCTCAAGAAGCGACTCTCCGGTCGCCAACATGAGCTGCTCCTCTTCCTCCCGTCATACCCCACTACCCTCCACCACCGCCAAGGATACCATACGCCGGCTGGTGAAGGCCAATGGTGATACACTCAGTCTTGATGAAATGAGATTCGTACAAAGGCTAGGGAGTGGCGATATAGGGAGTGTGTACTTGGTGGAGCTAAAGTGCGCCGAGGGATGCATGTTGGCGGCGAAGGTGATGGATAAGGAGGAGTTGATGAACAGAGAGAAAGAGGGTAGGGCAAGGATAGAATTGGAAATACTGCAAATGTTGGATCACCCATTTTTGCCATCACTGTATGCCAGTTTGGAAGTTGATCGGTGGTCTTGCTTGTTGACCGAATTCTGTCCCGGTGGCGATCTGCATATTCTCCGTCAACGACAACCCGATAGGAGATTTGATGAAGCCGCCGTCCGGTGAGTATATATATATATATATATATATATATATATATATATATATATATATATATATATATATATATATATATATATATAGATCAACATTCTCCATTCCCACTCATCTTGACTTAATGAACAAACACCTATGATTATAAAATCGAGCAAATCATCAACTAATGATACAAAATATAATCCATTAATTACATACATATGATCTCTTTCAAATGATCAAAACAACTGTAAATTTAAGATTTGTATCAATTTGATAAGATTATGTAGTTTTAGTTTAAAATTTCACTACTAAACAAATTTACAACTATATAACCATCATAAGATGAAAATTATTGTATAAAAATTTCTTTTTCTGAGATTTTTATTTTTTGAACAGAATGGTTTGATAAATTCGGAGACCTGAATTTCAATCATTCATCTAAAAATGGTAATTATTGCGTTACATGGAATGCATCGAACATGAATTAAAAGACAAAGTCACTCACTATGTAATTATATAAACATATATAATCTATTATATTGTTTTATTATAAAATACTATTATATAAGTATTATTTTAATACAGTTTTATAATCATATCTAATACAATAATTACTCTTAAAATTAATCGGTTTGAACGTCAAGCCAAACGTCGTCTCAGAATACAATGCAATAATCATGTAATGTCCATATTTTATAACACTCCACAAATCATGTAATGTATATTTTAAAACTCCACAAATCATGTAATGCATATTTTAAAACACGCGCGAATCATTTGTAGTTTTTTATCATATATTTGCTAATAGTTTAAAACCATATTGAGGTAAAGTTGATGCATGCATGCAGGTTTTATGCATCAGAAATTGTGGTTGCCCTTGAATACCTTCACATGATGGGCATAATCTATCGAGATCTAAAGCCTGAAAACGTTCTCGTAAGATCAGATGGTCACATAATGCTGACTGACTTCGATTTATGCCTAAAATGCGAAGATTCCACCACCCCTAAACTTGTTCAAGGTCAAGACCAGCTAACCATAAGTAGCCCATCAACGACCCTGTGCACCAAGGGCTCATTGTCCCCATTCATCCTTCCTCGTTGTAGCATGCCAAAAGTACTCTCTTGTTTTCACCCCAAGCAGAAACGGAGACCACAACCCAGTAACCATCGACCACCTTTTGACATCATGGCTGAGCCAGTTGAGGCTCGATCAATGTCCTTTGTTGGTACTCATGAGTACTTAGCACCAGAGGTTGTTTCCGGTGAAGGACACGGCAATGCAGTGGATTGGTGGACTTTAGGGATATTTATTTATGAGTTGTTCTATGGAGTGACACCGTTTAGGGGAGGTGACAATGAGTTTACACTCACGAGCATTTTAGCTAGAGGGCTTCACTTCCCTAAAGAGCCTGCATCATCCTCGGCTATGAAAGATTTGATCACGAAGCTCTTGATCAAGGAACCCACAAAGCGAATGGGGTCCATGAAGGGTGCACCTTCGATCAAGAACCACCCATTCTTCAATGGAGTAAATTGGGCACTTCTACGCGGGGCTTCACCGCCCTACGTACCTCGACCTGTCTCTTTTCGAGATTTTGTTGCAGTAAATGATCATTGTGATGATCATATAGACTATTATTAGTCATGAAAGATTACCATGATTTGTTGTTGTTCTTTGTAATTTTTTGGTTTTATAGTTATTTTACTCGTAAGTGTAATGTGTACGAGGTCATGAAAATCGCATTGTGATGGTGTAGATAGATATTTTGACCATTACACCTAAAATTGGTAAATCACCGGTAAGTGTATTCAGGTTCTTATATGATGCAAAGAATATTAAGGAGAAAGCAAAGTGTTTTATGGATAAATGAAAAAAATTTGTCAAGGCAAGTTCCAACTTCAAACAACATAATATGTCTGTTAGGAGTTAGTGGGCATAATATTGAATATCATACTGGATAGAGATAAGCAATAAACCGACAAACAATGAATTAAATGTCAATTAGTTGCGAATAATAAATTGAATTATATATTACTAATTTCCAAGTTTCATCCATAACACCATATTGATCCTTAACGATCTGATTAAAAGAAATGTAGAAGAAGATTGTCCCGTTATTGGATGAATTAAAAATAGAATAGTAAATTAAAACAAACCTTGAGTTCGTTGAGCTTGACTAGTAAAATACTACACAGAAGAAGCTCTTGTCCTTAAAGGTTTATGTTGCTCTATGTGTTTGGATTAAGTAAAAACAAAAACCTCGGAAAACTTCGAAAATGGCGTTTTAGGTCATTCGATATGGTCTGCATGATATATGGGTGAACATTATATTAAGGATAAAAAAAAGATGGTATTGTTTATAGGGAAGGGATTACTAACGGTATGATGGCTTGCATAATATGTCACATACCGTTTGACTAAAACACGAAATAATTTTAATTGAGAAAACTCCTCGATTATAAAAAAGGAAAATGATACAAAAAGAAAAAAAATAAAGAAAAAAGTATAAACAAACAACTCACAAAAGAGAAACCAAATAAAAAAACACAAATACAAAATAAAAAGCCCAATGATAAAAAAATGAAAACAAAAGCAAACCATCCAAAATCAAATACAAAAAGGCAAGAAGTTGGAGAGTAATAAAACACGTTTTAAAAGAGCTTTGGTCTACTCATCTACCAGTCCAAGAGAGCCCAGTCTAGTTCCGGTCCAATCTTGGTCTAATCTAGGAGTTTTTTTTGTAAAAAGGGGCTATTTTCAAAACGGCTTGTAAAAATGGGGTTGTTTCAAGTCCATTTGTAAAAATGGGGATTGGCCCCACTTCTTTCACATACATTTAAAGTTACATAAATGGTCCTTTACGTTTTATGCAACTACCATTTTCAATTATATATTTGTGTTTTATATTTTTATTTTCATTTTCCACTTTGATTTATAAATAATATTTTTTATTATAAATTTGTTATTAAATTTTATATATAGACCTTAATAATTTATACCATTTAAAATTTTTTGTTTACCTTCAGTCAATATAAATATTAAATATTATTAAAATTAAATATATTAAATAATTATATCGATATTATTAGAAGTAGACATAAAATAAATAAATATACAAATTTTATATATGAATTGTCCAATCAATAATAATGTATGTAAAAGCAATTCCAAAAGAGTTGAAGAATCCAAAAATGTCAATGTACATTTGGTATTCTACTGTTGATGAATTGTCATCTCTGTTCTTTATAATCAAATACATTTTACTTTTTGATGATATTAATTCCAATCATTGAATTGAATTTTCCCATCAATCCTACAGCTTTTTCATTCCTCATATTTGCATCATCAGTTTCCATACTTCTCTCATCGTTGTATCATTAGTTCTTTTTCTATCTCAAACATAAGGTATGTATTTATTTATAATCGAGTACATTTTACTTTTTGATGCTATTAATTCCAATCACCGAATTGAATTTTCTCATCAGTCTTACAACTTCTTTGTTCCTTATATTTGCATCCTCAGTTTCCATACTCCTCTCATCTTTGTATCATTAGTTTTTTTCTGTCTCAAACATAAGGTATGTATTTATTTATATACATATCTTGCATATATAAATGATGTCAACATTGAATTTAAGATACTAATTTATGTCATTTGTCCTATGATTTGCAGTTAAATTCTCTTATATTCATTTTTGCTTATCTGGTGAAACATATACAAGCAAATATTAAAACTATTTTGCATGTTGATGTTTCTTATGATAAGGCATGGCATGGTAGGAGAAAAGCCATGGATGTGTACACTAGCGCTACCTATAAACTACATTATAATGCTGGTTTTGCACCATTTCCCCATGTTGATTATTAGTTGGATTCAAATTGGGTGATTGAAGCGGATTACTCAAAATTTTCTGTTGCTCGAAGTAGGAGGCGTACAAACCGAATATGTAACGAGATGGACATGCATCATCCCGGCGAACCTCGTAGATGTGGCATATGCCACCTACTAGGTCATAATCGAAAAAATTGTCCAAATTCTCAACCAAAGTTTAATGTGATGTAAGCAATGTATTTTATTGATCTACTAATTTCAAGTTTAGTGATCTTGTAATTTTATGTTCATTTGATTTTGTAATTTAATGTTGAATTGGTCTTGTGATTTCGTAATGTTATAAATATGACGTGAAATATCTATTTTATTTGTTATATATAATTTAGTAATATTTGATATTGATATTGATTTGAAAGTGTTAATGATATATTTTTAATTGTATAAATTAGTACGGTCTATGTATAAAGTTTAATAATATGTTTATAATGAAAAAATAATACATTAATAATATATTTATTATAAAAGAAATGTTATGTATAAAGTTGGTAAAGGTAACAAATAAAAATAAAATGTAAAAACTAAATGTGTAATTGAAAAGTTTTATATTATAAAACTGAAAATTCTAATAATGTACAAGGATCATTTATGTAATTAAAAAAATCATACGTATAGTTTAAATGGGGCCACAACCCTATTTTTGCAAATGGATTTGAAACAGCCCCCTTTTTTACAAACAGTTTTGAAAACAACACCTTTTTGCAAAAAAACTCCTAATCTAGTCCAATAGAGGCCCGTTTGAGGACTGACCTCAGTCATCTGACCACTGTCTGGTCCAAAAAACTAGTTTTATTTTATCGATATTTTCATGCAATCATGTCCTTTATTTATTGTAATGCCAAGATTTATTCCAATGGCTAAATTTTACAATAACAAGCTTTAAACTTACACAAACAACCCACACAACTACAAACATATTAAAACCAACAACATGCCAACCCCTTATAAAAAAGATCAAGCAACAACAGGTTCAACTGGCTTTTCAACCGGCTCCACCGGTTTTTCAGCCTCAGAAGATGGTGCAATAACAGGTTCCACCGGTTTTGCAGCTTCACTAACCGGTTTTCCGGCAACACAAGATGGTGCTGCAGCTACAGGGACAGGGTCCAGCGCTTCTCCGGTTTCACTAGATGGTGCAGCAACAACAGGTTCCTCTGATTTCTTCCCTCCACAACATGACGACGCTTCTTCTGTTGGCCAAAACTCCGTCTTCTTCCCAGTCTTGGAAACCGTCTGAAAAACTAGATCTGGCTCTACGTTTCCTTTCACTGTAACCTTTTTATGCTCCAGATCAATGTCAAAAGTTTCCACCCCTAATTAAACAAAGATTTTTATATATTCTGAAATCGGAAAATAGATTCTGATCATAAAGAAAGCTAAAACTTTGTGCTTCACACAACTCAGAATTCCTGTGTTCCACGAGATAAAAAGGATCTGATCCTCAGTAAATGGAATCGTGTTCGATATGTTAACGTCAACCCATTTTGTGGACCAAAAAGTTATTCCAACTTCTCAAAAAGCAACACCATGCACTAACTTTCTACAGTTAAAGAACATTAAAGCATTCATGCATGAATTAAAAAGATGAACTACAAACCTTCCATGTTGGTGAGAACCCTCTTCACGGCACCAGCACAGCCTCCACATGACATGGCAACCTTGAGAACGACGGTCTAAATTGCCATCCATTTTGGTGTCATGGAATTAAGATGTCATATATAAATTAAGATATAAACAATATACAATAAGCTACAAGAAGAGAATTTGTCAACTGGCTAGATGCCTAGATGAATTAATTAACGTCTTCCGAAATCAACAGATTCAAAGTATAACTTGTTTTGTAAAATTTGAACCCGAATATCAAATTTGCAATTTATAGAATGTGGTAAAAACTTTCGGTTGGACCATTTTTCAAGGTGGAAATGAACAAATTCAAAGTATAATTAACTTTTACTTGTTACTCGTGCATCAAAACATACGTCGTGCAATTGAAATTAACTTTTGTGTTGGAGACTCGTCACTAACATGGTAGCATAGTGTGTGTGTGTATGTGTGTGTGCGTGTGTGTGTGAGTGTGTTTGATCGTTTCAAAGGAATCTACCACATGATCTTGATCATTGTTAGCAAGATTAGTTGTAGCTGATGAGCGATGACAATGAAATTCTCAATCCAGTCTTCAACATACATAAATTCAACCAGGCTTAACTCAAAATAAGAAAAGGTTTATCAAAAATAAAACAGAAAGGTGTTTCGAGTACAGTTTCCAGATATCAAAGTTCAAACTTATTTTTCAAACCAACAACTTCAGACGAGCTTGTTGTTCATGCAGAAGAAAACGAGGGGAAATAGAGAGAATTAAGTACCTGAGACATGGTTGATTCGTGGAATGAAATGGAAGAGTGTTTAAAAAATTTGGGGGGAGGTAATCGATTAAAATAGGGAGAAAGAAGGATTCGATTTTACGTTTCAATTTGGAGTCTGAATCAGCGTTCGTGTAGGCTAGCATTAGATACCACAATCCCCACGGAGTTGATATCGTTATTAAGATAATTGTGGGGAGTTACATGAATAGTCCCTCAACTATGTCAAGAAGTTCAGTTCTTGGGTAATATAAGCAAGGTTTTAAGTGACATGGTGCGACAAGGTTAAACCTCAAACTTTATAAGTAATGTCAAGTTATGTCGTTTTTTAAAGTCCGACTCAAGACGGTAACTTTTGTATATATAGAAACAGAGAAATCACATAAATATAAATTTATTTAAAATAAATCAAAATTTAGAAGAATTATATCAACACCTAATAACAAATGGTTAACAAAAACTCAATAGTTTTATGTTCGATCAGAAAAAGAAAATTTGTGCCTTGTAAAAAACTCGGGACTTGGCGCACCTTGATCCGCCTTGTCACATCTCACACTCGATGTCATCAAGATTTTCGTGACAACATAGACACGCC